GCCTGCTCTGGAAGGCCCCCAGACAGTCCTGCTGTGCTAACCACACCCTGATGCTCATTCTGCAGTTCTGGTCTCAGCCTCCACCACTCCATCCTAATCTGCAGCGCACACCACTCAGAAGCTCCGTTAGTGTGACTCATGTCTGTGCTCCTGTTATCCAGCTCATCCCTGGGAGAAGGCCACTTCCTGTTGTGGTGCTCAGAGGACAGGCTTGGTCATAACCAAGCAAACGCTGCAGAGGAAATGCAATGCTAGTAATATGATGGTGGATATGAGTTTGTTTGCTTTTCTGTTTTTTTGGAGATAGGATCTCCTTATATGGCCTTGCTGGACTCAAACTTGGAGTCCTCCTGCATCAGCTTCTTAAGTGCTGAGATTATAGGTATGTACTGCCATGCCAATTGTGATAGTCAGCCTTCACTGTCAACTCGACTGGATTTAGGATCCCCATGGAAACACTTGTGGGTGTGTCTATGAGGGTATTTCTGGAAAGATTTAGCCAAGACAGGAAGAAGGCCTACCCATATAATGGCCTAGGACCCCAGATTAAACACAAAGGTGAAAGCTGAGGGGTCTGGAGAGATGGCTCAATGGTTAAGAGCACTGACTGCTCTTCTAGAGTAATTCTAGAGTAATTCCAGTTCCAGGAAATCTAGCACCTTCACAGACATGTGCAGGCAAAACACCAATGCACATAAAAAAAAATAGTAATAAACTTTACAAAAGGTGGGAGCTGAGTGCCAGCATCCATCTCTTTCTGCACTTGATGCATTGTGACCAACACCTCACAATCCCGCCACAATACCTTCCCTGAGCCGAAACAACCCTTGCTTCCCAGTTATTGACTACCAGCTCTTCCTGGAGAGCTGCCAGGGTGGGGGGCTAGACGGTAATCTTGAATTTCAGATAACCAGACAACTATAACCTCCTGTGGAGGACTGTGAGACTGTGAGAGGGAGGGATGCCTAAGAGCCATTTAAAGTGAATAAGGATTAACAACACCACCCTACCAATTAAGGCATATGTGAATATCCAGGAGGGATCAAATAACTTTTTTAAATTATCTCAAACTTTAAAAAAAAAAAAATGAAGAGTCAAAGGCTGTAACTTCTGCCCTTATCTGATTTAATTGAAAAAAAATTCATGTGTTAACTGTAATGAGTAATATAGAAATTTAGTTGATCATGGGCCCTTAATATATTTAGCTGGCTTCCGAAATGCTAAACTAACATTTCTCTTCTCAAAAGGCATCATACAAAATGAAGAAAGCAAGGGTCACAATTGAGTCTCATCAAGGTATTTAAAGTGTCAATTTCCTCCTCTAATAATAAATCAATTTGTTTTCAGGAGCAAAGAGTGCAAAAAAGGGGGAGAATATACATTACTCATCCTGGGTCATTCCCTCCATGGTGTAAGCACCTGATCCATGGCCGGGCACACATTTCTTTCCAAGACCTGTGTTGGTATCATGGCAGTCTGAGGAAAAAAATGCAAGTGTACCCTCCCCCATGGGTTAGCAGTGGGGCTGGTGGTTAGCATTGGAGGAAGATAGGCTCTTTCCATCTCACCAGGGGCAGGGGTGTGTTCCTTGGCAGAGATGCCTAGTGCTTGTAGACTAGGCTGAGCCCCTTGCCATCAAAACTGAGAAAGTTCATATGGAAAAGGAACTCTGTTAAGGCCAGATGAGGATCTCTCTTAGCCTCTGACAAGTTAGTCCTAGCCACAGTTCCTTAAGAGCTCTGTTGGTCCTCTCTACAATGGCTTGTCCCTGTGGATTGTGGAGAATGAGAATGGAATGGGAAATCTTCCAGGACCCCAGAAAGTCACTGAATTGTTGAGAGATATAGGCAGGGCCATTATCAGACTACCATGCTGACTTAAGGACCTTGACAGCATTGACAGCTTTCTCCCCAGAAAGGGCAAGGGTATAAACAAAGGAGGAACAGGTATCTATTATCACATGAACATATTTAAGATTCCCAAAGGGTACATAGTGCATAACATCCATCTGCCAGATGGCGTTAAGCAACAAGCCTGGGGAATAAATCCCTGCTCATTGAAGAGGTCCTAAGAGGGCAAGAGGGACACAAAAGGTACATGCCTGGGACAAATGTTTGCATTGGGAAACTGGTAATTTTGGAAGAAGTCTATGAAAATTCTGTGGAGACAGATGGGACTGCTGGTGAGGAGCCCTGGCTTGCTCTAGGAGATCCACACTGGCTGTTAATATGATGGTATCTGAGACCTCATTTCCTGGAGTTAATATTCAGGGTAATTTGTAATGAGATCTCATATGCGACAGGTACCAGGGCTCAGTTCTCTGATTTAAGGCATCTTGTATGAGCAGCATGGTCAGTGAGTCTGACCTGAGAAAAGGCCAGCAAATGAACTCCCTGCACAGTGTACTGGCTGTCAGGAAACATGTTAACAGGCTGGGTCTGTCACTCCACTAGAACCTTGTGGAAGGCCAATAAATAGCTCACTCAAGTGAACAGAACCAGGGTTAGGGACAACATCTGTAACATCTTTGGTGCCAGGATGCTGGATAAGAACATATCTGTTTTATTGGAATCTCAAAAGGCCAGGGTGGTGTGAGGGATGGGAGTGGAGGAGGGGATTATGTGGGACTGTATTTTTACTGGAAGTGTAGGGAACCCCACCAAGATCTTGGTTTTTGGCAAATAACTGTCCATAGTTCCCGTGAATCCCTTAACCATTTCCTGGAATAAGATAGAGTCCGTTCAGAGGGACTGGGTATTGTTTAAAGAAAAGGGGAGCTTACCTGGATCTTACCCATCTGTTCTCTGTGCCAGCATTTGTGCCTTAAGGCTAAGTTGATCAAACTTAGAGGTGACTATGCACAGATCAGAATGTGTTTGATGTATCCATAATAGGAGGTCAGATTGCCATAATGTTCCCCAAAATCCCCTGGGTGTCCAGAGGATCATTGCCACCAAGGGCTTCTGAGGATCATGGTGTTGTAGGCTAGAGGTAGCTAGAATAGAATGGCCATAACCTTTTATAGTAGATCTCTAGCTTCATGAGTAAGCCCAACCTTGATGGACTGGCAGGTGGTGCCCTCCAACAATATCTCTTGGTTGAGAGGATGGGCAGAAAGAGTTTAAGCCAATTAACTGTGCCACATTATTGTTGAAATTCTGAGAGTAAGAACCATTCCTTCATTTCCAATTTGAAGGAAAGGGGGCAGACATGCTTAGCAATGGAAAAGCCTAAAAAGGCAAAGGGGGTACCATTTGAACATTATCTGGCACTACCATCAGATGTAGTGACATGAGTTCTTGTAACACTTTTTCAGCAGTCTGTTGTAGATAGACTGCATCTGGATGAGCCAGAAGGAGACCATCCATGTAATGGATTAAGAGAACATCCTTGGGAATATTCATCAAGGCCTGAAAAACATATAACTGGCAGATTATGGGCTATTCTTCATTCCCTGGGGTAAAACAGTCCATTGATATCTCTTGGCTGGCTTGTGCATATTAGGTTCCCGTACTGTAAAGGAAAAGTGGTCTTGATCCTGTGGTGCCATGGGAATTTGAAGAAAATGCTTTCCTCCTAGGCTTGCTTTGGACGATCCGTTTACTGATGCTGGCCCAGCTCCCGCTCTGGCCTAGGTGGAACGGTTGCACAGTCATCTAGAGTTTAGAGAGGCTTATGATTGAAAAGTCTGGTACAAAGTGAAACAGCCCTGGCCGAGGCTGTGATTCAGGAGCTCTGCTCAATGTGTAGCATTCTTAAGGCCTCTGCCAAGTATTAAAAAGATTAGTGCTGATGTGAAAGAAGTTGAGCTGGCTGTTGGACTGCCAGAGCCTTTGTTCAAGCCAGGCAGCAAGGTTAAGAGTCCAGTAGCTTTCAGTTAATTGAGCTACCCCATCGCCCAACACCTTAATTACTGACAGTAAATGAACTTCAGGAGCAATGTTTACAATAAGAATTTAAAGCCAGGCATGGTGGCGCACATCTTCAATTCCAGCACTCGGGAGGCACAGGCAGGCAGATCTCTGTGAGTTTGAGGCCGGTCTGGTCTACAGAGTGAGTTCCAACAAGCCAGGGCTACACAGAGAAATCCTATCTTGAAAAAAAAAACAAGATAATAATAATTAATAGTAATAATAATGATAACAATATAAAAGAAATATTTTATAAAAGTGTGTGTACTCCTCTTGCAGAGGACCAGCGTTCAGTTTCCAGCATCCACAATGGGCAAAGCTCACAACTTGCCTGTAACTGCAGCTCTCTGGGTTTCTGACCATCCCCAGGCACTAAACTCATATGCACACATCCATAACACACACACATAATTAAAATTATATTTAATTTTTTAAAAAAGCCATACCTGGTGGTGCAAGCTTGTAATCCCAACCTTAGGAGACCGAGGCAGGAGTATTGCTACAAGTTTGAGGCCAGTCTGGGTTTCATAGTACCAGGGAGCCAGGGGTAAAGGAGATTTTAACAGACTCTTAGGATACTCAAATAATGCACCAGGGAGAGATATCCTAAATGTCTCAGAATGACAAGTTCCCAGCTTGAGGGAGGAGGGGAACTAAGCAGAGAAGGCCCTAGATATATCGGTGACAGGATATGGCTGTGCTGGAAAAATGGAAGTGGTTACAGGTGTGTGGGGTGGAGCCTGTGGCCTTGCCAGGAGTTTAAACATGAGCCGGCAGTGGTGGCAGAGGCCTTTTATCCCAGCACTCGGGAGGCAGAGGCAGGAGGATCTCTGTGAGTTGGAGGCCAGTCTGGATACAGAGTGATTTCTAGGACAGCCAAGGCTGCTACACAGAGAAACTCTGTCTCAAAAAAGAAAAACAAACAAAACAGAAAAACCAACCAACCAAAAACAAACAAAAAGAACCCCGTCACCCAAAAATAAACCCTTGAGGGAGTGGGTGTCCTTGGGGGGCGGAGCTCCATCCAGGACCCGCCTCCAGGTCACTCGGGAGTCACCCTGGCGCTTCTAGGCCTTGGCTCTGAGCGCCGCGCCCCCTGCGCGCATGCGTGCTGGTCCCCGGAAGCGATGCGCGCAGCGTTCGCCCCTGCGTCCCGGCGGGAGCAGCAGAGTCCGTGGATGTGGGGCCGCCGCTGACATGGCTTCGGCGGGAGGCGGCGGCTGCGACAGCGCCGCTCCCGAGGCCGATCGTCCCCAGCCGCGGCCGTTCCTCATCGGCGTGAGCGGTGGCACCGCGAGCGGCAAGGTGAGTGGCCTGCGCCGGGGCCTCGAGGAGGGACTGACGGGCCGCGGGTGGGGGCGCCATTGCCTCCCGCCTAGGCGTGTCACCTGTTGCTAGCAGCCAAGGGGTCGCCTTCAGGTCCTGGTGGATCACTTGCACAAGCCCACTTCTGGCACTTTCTGTCCCCAGTCAACAGTGTGTGAGAAGATTATGGAGCTGCTGGGACAAAACGAAGTGGACCGCCGCCAGCGCAAGTTGGTCATCCTGAGCCAGGACTGCTTCTATAAGGTTCTGACAACAGAGCAAAAGGCTAAGGCCTTGAAGGGACAGTACAATTTCGATCACCCAGGTACATGCAGACAGACTGTTTAGAGAGGTGGGGGTGGAGGGTAGACTGCTGCCACTTAGACTCTATAGGGATCGCAGACTGCCAGGCAGATACAGAGGTGCATGTTGATGCAGACTGCTGGACCAGGGCTGTAGGAGATGCCTGTGGGATGCAGGCTGCCAGATCAGGGGCACACAACTGTTTGCTGGATGCAGACTGCCATGGGAAGCTATGCAGGAGTGTGTATGTACGATGCAGCATGACCAAGGCTGTACAGAGAGAACCTCTGGGTACCAACTGCCAAGGTGGGTATTGTATTGTACCCTCATTTCTTTGGTCATAGGCATATACTAGGTTAGAGGGATTTGGGCCAGGAGCCATTTAAGACTTTGGCTAGAGCCACTTGGGAAGGAGGAAGCAGAGGGGGTCTTCAGGGTCACTTCTCAATGTGTTGAATTTGCTTCCCTGCACCTTGCACCTGAGGGACCCTTTGCACACCTTACTGCCCCAAACTGTCTGGGGGCAGTCTTCGGAGAGCCTGTATTAGAAGCAGAGGCTAACCTGGCACCCAGGCCTTGGGACTGTTTGCTGGTCTGGAAGGTTTCCTAGAAAGTTTCAGCTTTTCTGGGGACACAAGAAAGTCAGAAAACAGCACTCTTAACTGGCTCTTCCCAGATACAAAGAGGAGCAGAGACCCAAATCATCTCTCCTTCCCCCAATGCTGGTCAGTCAGAAAGTCTTTGTCCCAGTTCCGGTAGGACAGTTTTACCCTTCGTCCCACGGTATACTCCCAGCCATGCTGACCCTGGGTAGAGGCAGTTCTCCCCGTCTGCCTGGGCAGCTGGGTAGTCTGGCCTTTTGATGTTCTTGTAGATGCTTTTGATAATGATCTGATGCACAAGACTCTGAAAAACATTGTCGAAGGCAAAACTGTCGAGGTCCCCACCTATGATTTTGTGACGCACTCAAGGTAAGCAGGTAGTTCCCAGGAGGGCCAGTGAGAGAGGGCTGTCTACACACACTGGCCTCTGCTGGATCTCACCCCAGGCAGGGTCCTTGTTACTAAGGTGGGCCATCAAGCAAGGCCTCTCCTGGCCTTTCCCTGGCAGGTTGCCAGAGACCACGGTGGTCTACCCAGCTGATGTGGTTCTGTTCGAGGGCATCTTGGTATTCTACACTCAGGAGATCCGGGACATGTTCCACCTACGCCTCTTTGTGGACACAGACTCTGATGTTAGGCTGTCTCGAAGAGGTAAGGGCCTGTGTCTCTGGATGGGGCTGGGATCTTTAGGGTTCCTGAGGAGGCTTATGGTGGTACCTTTCTCGTGTTGCTGCAGTTCTCCGGGACGTGCACCGAGGGAGGGACCTGGAGCAAATTCTGACCCAGTACACCACCTTTGTGAAGCCAGCATTTGAGGAGTTCTGCCTGCCGGTACTACCTTTATCCATTCACAAATGAAATGGGTCCGAGCTCTGCCCACCTCTCCATCTGCACTCTTTGCCTCTTTGCCTCAGGCTAGACCCTGATGCACCTGCATTGGCTGTTCCCCTCAAGGCCTGGCCTGCGTCTTGCTCACTCCCCTTGGAGCCCCTCTTTAGGACTTTGGACTGTTCACTGGTAGCTGTTGGGTGTTTTGACTGATCTCCAGATGCTCTGGACCAGATGCTGAGAGCCCTGCTGACTCATATTAGGAGTGTGCTGATTTTCCATCTTATAGTTCTGGAGTTAGAGGTGAACTTGTAGCTTTACCCAATTCAAGGAGGGAGGGAGGGTGTGGTGAGCTGAGATTGTAGGCCTGGCTGACCCTGAACTCATGGAAGCCTTCTACTACATTTAGTTTCCTGAGTTCTGGGATTTTAAGTGTGAGCCATCACACTCACTGTCATATTGAATTACTCACTGTCATATTGAATTATTTGAAAGAGAAGCTTAATAGTGTTTTGCCTCTTTTACAAAGTGTGTCCGTGCGTGTTGTGTGTGTGTATGGGTGTGTTCATGGAAGCCAGAAAGCTGTAGGAACCCTGCATCAGGAGTTGCAGGTGGTTGTAAACTGCCTGTTGTGGGCACTAGGAACTAAACTGAGTCCTCTTGTAAGAGCAGCAAGTGCTCTTAACTGCCTGCGGAGCCATCTCTTCAGGCCCCAGGATTTTATCCCTTAAAGTAAAAAGAAAAGCTGGGCATGGTTGTGCATGCTTTTAGTCCCAGAACTCAGGGGCAGAAGATCTCTGTGTTCATGGCCAGTTTAGTGTACAAAGTACATTCCAGGCTAGACAGAGATAAATGGAGAGACCCACCACATGTCCCCCAAAAGTAAAGGAACCAGACATGGAGAGACTGCCCTTGGCCTCAAATGTAAAGGAACCAAAACTATCAAAAACAGGAAAAATAAATTCCATTAGCTGCTACAGAAAGAGCCCCTTCTGGGTTCTGTGATTAGAGTTTTTCTTTAATGCTCTTGCTCTCTCTGGTTTTTGGAAAGCATTAATGTGTGGAGTGCAGACTGTTGCTTTCGCTGAGTAGGTGGTGAGTAGGCATGAACCCTGGGTCCTGCATCTGAGCAGCCTCATGAGCAGTCCGCCACCTCCATCCCTGATCCTTGTGCTGCTGACCTCCCCAGGGTTTCCTCCCTAACATGCAAGCCAGGCAGCCCCTCAGAAGCATTTCCTAGGCTGGTGGGGGAAGGGGAGTAGGTTTCAGCCCCTCTTCACCTTGCCTGGGGGTGCTGCCAGGTCCACTCACCTTTCACAGGAAGGGTCTCTACTGCCTTGAGCAACCATTCTGCTGTAGGGGACAGGCCTCCTTAACCCAAACATGGCAGTATTGACGCTTCCTGGGTCCATTGCCAGAGTATGCCCTCTCCGGGTTTCTCCTGGTTCAACCATGTCCCCTCAGCAACGTCTTTCCCTCTGCTATCCTCAGTGGTCCTGCATTTCCTCGGTGGTCCTGCTGGAGTGTCACTGGCCTTAGAACAAGTAAGCAGTGAGAGCATGTAGGTGATCGGTGCCATGTATGTCTCCAGTTAACAGGCCTGTACATGGCACAGCTCTTGTCCTGTCGTACTCATTTCTATAGGACATTTGCATACTTCAGTCCCAATTTCAGAGGCCAAGAACTATGGGAGGTGTCACACCTACCTAAGACACCAATTAAGCTGTGACCAGGCAAACACAGCGGGGCACTGTGCAAGTTCACTCTTAATCTTCTGCCTCACTGTTCAGGCCCCATCTCTCACCTGTATAAGGCTGTCCCCAACCTGCCAGTGCTACTAACACCCAGGCTTTCATCTTGTTAAAGTCACCCTGGAGGAGACAGCTTCAGGAGACTCCTCTGTGTCTTTCAGACCAAGAAGTATGCCGATGTGATCATCCCCCGAGGAGTTGACAATATGGGTAAGCAGCTCTCAGCCCTACTCCCAAACTATGATGCAGTGGCTGCTACCTCTTGCTTCCCAAATATGTGCATGGGGCTTGTCCACATTTACCTGGGACATGAGTTCATGTGTACTTTCTAAGTGTTGGCTGGGCAGAGCCTGTCAGGCCATTGAGATATGTTTTTATCGGGCTCAATCAACATTAACAATAGAAGACAGGGAGCAGTTATGTGCCAGTTTGCTGAGACATCAGGCAGGCAGGCAGGTCCTGGGACTGCTGGGTGGCAGAAAGGCTTTCCTGGATGCCAGAGTGTTTTGCAGAGCAGGGGAGTGAGGGCAGGCTGCAAGACTTCCAGGAGTGAATGTGGTGAGCATTTCCCATGTCTCATTGCAGTCGCCATCAACCTGATCGTTCAGCACATCCAGGACATTCTCAATGGCGACCTGTGCAAGCGGCATAGAGGAGGGCCCAATGGGCGCAACTACAAGAGGACCTTCCCTGAGCCAGGAGATCACCCTGGGGTGTTGGCCACTGGCAAACGCTCACACCTGGAGTCTAGCAGCAGGCCCCACTGAGACCAGCATATGTAGGTTCCCCACAGACCCATGATTAAGGGTCTCGACCTGGGGACAACCACTTGCCCTTAAAAGCACAGTCAGGGATTCTTCTCAGTGTGATCTAGGGTGGCAGCATTTAGGACGAAGGCCTTCCTTGCTTGGGAGGGCAGATTCATGCTGACAGAGCATTCTGGTGTCCTTTGCTTCCTCTCGTTGGAGGAGGTCAGCAGGTCTCTGGGTCACTGAGAAATGTCCCAAACCGCATAGAAAGCTCATGGTGCTGGCTTCCAGAGGGATGCAGGACATACATTATGGGGCAGCTGAGGAAACAGCCCTGGCACTGGCTGGCTTGGTGTTGATAGTGAGCCAGTGTGTGTTTCATGTGTATGTTGCAGAAGTAAAGTCTGAAGACATGTTAACTGTCCTATTTGTTTTGTGGCAGGCTGTTTCTGACCTATGAACTTAGTTTTAACAATCTACCACTGGGCTATATAGTCCAGTCTAAGGAGCCTGAGGCAGGAAGGAACCCTAACGCCTATCCATGTGTCCCTAAGCAGCAAGGGACTCCTGGGTATTCCTGGGGCCTGGCTTGTGGGATAGATGGGAGCAGGCCCTCAGGTTTCTTGTGACTAAAATAGTGTCTTCATAATTCTGCAGGAAGCCTTGTGCCCTGGGGGCTGTCTGTGTATAAGCCACTTGGGTAGCCAGGAGGCCACAGGAGTGTGGAGCAGAGTCACGTGAACATGGCTGCTCAAAGGCAGCTGGTCTCCTGCATGCTGGACCTGAGCTCATAGCTTCACACATGGTCCATTCTATGCTGGCCCCTTTTGGAAGTGTCCTTGCTATTGTCATAGGCCACGGTGCAGGCATTTTCATTAGTTCTCATTAAATACGATGTGGTTCTTTCTCATGACAGCAGCTGAGCTGCCTTGAGCTCATGGGCTGGTTTCTGTTAGTGCTGTACTGGTTTTGTTGAACTGAAACCCCTCTTTGGAGGAAGAATCAATAAATAACACTAAAAAATGATTATCAATTTGTTCCTTTTTATTTACATTAGGAAAGGCAAATTCAAGGCAAGGAAGTGTATGGATGGCATCTTGGCTGTGGAAGACAGGTGAAGACGCTTGGTGAAATCTCCCAGAAGGGTTTTAAAATACAGATCAGAGAGAAGTCCTGGTGTTAAAGCACTGTCAGATTTCCAAGTAGGCTTTACAAAGGTCAGCTGTATCTGCAGACATAGTTGTTTGGGGTGACTGAAGGCCTTGTAAAAGGCAGGCTAAGACCTCATTGGTGGCCCATAGCTGGTGGGAAGGCTCATCCCATGAGTCCTGTCCACTCCTTCACTGGCTGGGTGCTCCTGCCTGCTTTGGGGGTTCCTACACTGGCAGCTCAAACACTAGCTGGGTCAGAGTCAGGCCTCCTGGGTAAGGCTGTGGCAGGGTACATTCTCTACTGTTCGAGGAGGAATAAATCACTTCAAATGAGAAACCAGTGGACAGGGCTTTTCAGGTGAAACCACAATTAATCCCTGGGAGTCCTTACTGGACCCAGCCAGCCCGTGCCTGCTGAGGCCTCTGCTGGTGGGAGACAAACACAGTTTTGAGATTCTGTTCGCATGCTTGTCTTGTTCTTTAGTACTTCCTGATCAGAATGTCCCAGCTGTCTTTCCAGCGAAGGGCCCGGAGTTCTCCTGGTGAGAGTGATGTGTCCCCATAAGTTAGTGGACGTAGCATGTTGGACACATGGCATGCAGAGGAATACCAGGCTACAACCAGGGCACTGAAGATGTTCTTCTGTATCTGGGACCTATGGGCAGCAGGGAGAGTGAGGTTAGAGAATTTAGCTTGCCTCCCCACACCATCCCTGCCCAGCTATCGCCCAGGAACCTGCTAACCCCTGTGGACTTTCTCTGTGTGTTCCTTAGGCCTCCCCTGCTTCTCTGCGCCTCATGCCAACCCTTATCTGCCTGGACACGTTGTACATGACCCCCTCATCACTGCTTCTGGATTTGTTATGGCTCGACCCACAATGCCAGAGGTGTGTCCCATGCCCTCCACATCAAGGCCCTCTCTCTGCTCCAACCCAAAGCTTTTTTCTTTTTCTTTCTTTCTTTCTTTTTTTTTTTTTTTTTTTTTTTTTTGTGAGTCAGGGTTTCTCTGTGTAACAGCCCTGGCTGTCTTAGAACTTAACTCTGTAGACCAGACTGTCTTTGCTTCCTGAGTGCTGGGGTTAAATGTGTGTGCCACCATGCCTCACCAACCCAAAGCTTTCTGTCTGCCATATCCCACCAAGTCAGGGAAGTGAGCCGCTGCTTGCAGGTGGTCACACCTCTCCCCATTTTTGCAGCCCTAAGGCTCATTGTGCCCGCACCTGCACAGGTGGTCGCTGACATGCTGCAGGATGATTGGTAGCAACAGGATCTGGAAGGTGAGTGCCGGCAGGTAGTGGTAGAGGAAGAGCATCCTCTCCATCAGGAAGAAGGGCAGGTAGTTGATTGCCCAGCCGCCAGTACACAGGGCTCCAGCCAGCACCCAGTGGGACCAGGCATCTGTAAGAACGCGTGTCTCAGAGCAGCATTATCACTGGGCTGGCCATAGGCTCATTCCTAAGTCACATACTGTCCTCACTGCTCCACCTCAACGACACTGCTGTTTCTTCCTGGGTCTTGACAATTTCTTCTCCTAGGCCCTAGACTCAGGGTAAGGCCAGACCCAGCCCTGCAAGGTCCCTTGCCAGCCTTATTAGCTCATGAGCAGTGTAAGCACAGGCTACTCTCATCTGAGGATTCTGCTCTCAGCTCCTCAGGGAGCTCGCCACAAAAGAGCTACATCTGTGACCAGCCTAGAACTGTAGCAAAAGTCAGTAGAATGAAGGGACCTGGTGGGCAAGTGCTAGCTTTCTTTCCAAATCCATCTCTGTCAGCTGCTCACATACACTGCCCCTAAACCTCTTGCTGACTGCTGGTACATGCAGGCAACCTGAACCTAAGCCTCTGTCCCCTGCACTGTCTGTTAAAGAAGTCTCAAATGTAGTGTGGATCTTAACTGCCACAGGTGTTTTTTAGGGCCCCTTCCTGCCCAGGGCCTTGGGTGCTCGTAAAGCTGGTTGTCACCTATGTATAATGTGCTCCCATGCTATGAGGAGGCACTAACCCTCAGGGAGGTCACAGATACTCCTTCGCCGGCGGAGCAGGTACCAGAAGAAAAGTAGGGTGTAGGCCACTGTGGCAAGGCTGGCTGAAGTCCAGATCACAATGTTTCCAAGCAGGTGGATCTGAGCCTGAAAGCACAGGGAGCCGCTTGCTACTCGCCCCCTCACCTCAAGTGGAGGGCAATGGCCACAAGCGAAGCCAAATGTACTTCAGCAGTCCAAACCTCACAGACACATCTAGCCTAGTAACATTATCTGGAAGACTTTATCCCTAGACACTTTTCAGACAAGTATTAGTGTTCTCAATCGTGTTTGTGAAAACTGAAAATTAGGAGTAATGGAAACTTGGGGTGCTGGGTATGAATCCAAACTTCTGTGCATGCTGAGCATACACTGCCACTGAGATTTATCCACAGCCCCCGTTCATCTAAGACTGTCTCCAAGGTAGCCCAGCCTGGCGTCAAATACAATCCCTGTGGTGTGTGCCACCATGCCTGGCTTGGGAGTCCTCTTGTAACAATATGGCTGCACACACAGCAGCTAGGGGGCTTGCTCTTTGTGCTTCACTTTATGGCGAGTGTTGGATGTGTGTGCTGGGGCTCAGTGACTCTGCCCAGCTCTGCCTCCATGCAGCCCCCACTGCTTCCATTCTGCTGTGGTAGAGGCAACATAACCAGAGCCATAACATAACACATTATACAACCTAACATACACACATAACACAGCCAGCACCGGCCCGCTTAATGGTTGGACGCTGTATGGAAAATAGTTACAAACTGACAGGAGTAGGGCAGCGGTGGTGCCCACAAGACTCAAAGACTAATGATGGGGTTCCCTCAATAGGCCACACGAGAGGGAGAGCTTGCTCTTTGGCAATGAGTACTTGAGGCCTTGGACTGCCCAGGATCACCACCACCACCACCAAAAAAAAAAAAAAAAAAAAAAAAAAAAAAATGCCAATTCTGAGCCTTTGCCTTGGAGAAACCCAGGACTCCTACGGGGACTTGCCTGGGACTCACACATGCTTGCTTACACTGGTCCTGGGATGTAGCCAGTAAGCGATATTGGTGTCCAGGGTGACCCACTCCAGGGGTGTAGAGCTGTACTTGTGTTCAGAATCCTCATTCTTAAGTGTCAGCATCTTCCACTGCCACAGAATAGAGCACAGGTTGCAAGGATGATCAAGCTTCCAGCTGCCATGACATCAGTGTGTACTAAAACTACTACTGACTGTCCCTTGTATGTCAACTGCCCAGACTAAGTTCATTTGGCAAGTGCTGCAGGGGGGTCCTGTACACTAACCTGGGCTTAGGCACATGACCTAACTTCATGGATCAGCACTGGCTCGGTAGACAAAGTGAAAGGAGTCACGCCATGAACTCTCCAAGTCTGCCTGAGTTACGTAGGGCTCTGCTAGTTGAATGCAGCCATTTTGACCTGATGGGAGGTCTTAAGACACCCTGACATTATTGCAGTGTCACACTGATGCAGAAACCCCTTTTGTCCCTGACTACAGGGTGCAGGTTCATGGGGCCTGAGAAGGGAGAGACACTTGTTCTGCTAGAGGTTCAGGGCTTGGAACTTAAAAACTCAGTAGCACAATGCCTTCACTGATAGAAATCTGCTCCTGCTGAGCTCACAAGAGCAGCGTCCCTCCAGCCACCTGTAGTCACCTGTAGTTCTGAGAATCTGGCCATGAAGCTGAGGTTCCTGCTAATATCAACCTGAGTAGGTGAATGCAGCTCCAGTTCCCTCTCCTTCTGCTCCTGGCCTGACCGTGGACACCAAGGAAGAGACACAGTGAGCTCAAGAGCTGAGGACACAGGCTGCCCCCAGGTCTTTCCAATAACCCACAAGGACAGCTCACCCCACCCTGGCCCCTCCACATCACCAACACATCATATAACCATGGGTCAGTGCAAGGGAAGGGACTCAGCCAAACAGAATGGAGGGGCTTAGGTCCCTCCAAACTAATAATGTTGTTTTGGTATTTCTTGGAGTGCCATGACATCCATAGAGACAACCAAAAAGCTATGATCCACGGCTTCACCGACTCACTTTTGCCATACCGGTGTTCCTCCACATTCCACACCATGCTCTCGTGGTGGCCTCGTGACTTCTCCCCAACCACCTCCAACTGCCGAAATCCCCAGTCAGGGAGGTGAGCCCCGCTCAGCTAGCAAAACCAAGAAAGGCAATGAAGCTGTTAACCCCAGCAGATGTGTCAGCAGAGCCCTGCCCCCAGTCTTCCCAGGACTCTTTGCCACTGTGTGAACTATAAACACAGGATGACTTTCATCACATGGCTAGCCTATGAGAGCACAGGTTGCCCAGGAGCTACCCTTCACCTTCAAGACGGCAGATGTATTCACATGCACAAAGCGCACTTCCGACAAGATGGTCTTCCAGGTATCCTGGCTGGACTCTCTGTTTACAATGTCCTACAGAAGGAGATCTTGTCAGCCTGGGGGCCAGTGGTAAAGCACTTGCCTGTGAGGCCCATCCCCAGCACCACAAACCAAGATAAACCTAAATATGTGTAGTCAGTTATTTCATCCCTTTTCAGATTGCTTTAAATGTCAACTAAAGATCAGATACCCATCGCTTCTCCACTTTGTGCCTAAAAGAAGACCAATCACACAGCTATGAAACCAGTGTGTGTCTTGGCTAGGGTAGTAAGTCCTGAAACAAAGGAAGCTAGTCCTTGGCCTTGGTGCCATGGACACTCCATGACCCACAAGCCTTCATAATAGAGCATTTCAGCCACTCACAGGGAAAGGGCATTGTCCCTGTCTGAGGCTGCAGGAAACACTCAAAAGCTGTCTAGTCAGTCACAAAAGGACTCAAAACGGAGAGTCCCTTAGACTTTATCTGGC